GGCCTCCTCCTGGCCGTCGCCTCCTCCTGAGCCCGAGACCCCGCGGAAGAAGGAGGAGTCGCTGAAGGCGTTGAAGGCATTGGTCAGGGACTGGGACTTACTGGGAGAGGGAAGAACGGGGAAATGGGGGGGGGACAATGGGGGAAGGGGGGGTTAGCAGTGTTACTGAAGGACAAACACATGTTGTCACTAAAACTATGCTCTAAACCAACTCCTCTCACCCACCCCTCCCTCACCCCTCACCCCTCACCCCTCACGTACTACGTGGCTCTTACTTCAGCAGAGGATGGCTCTTCTGCTGGGGAGCAGGTTGTTCTTCCTCTGGGGCGGGAGCCTCAGCAGGGGCAGCAGCAGCTTCAGCTGGGTCAGAATCAGGGTCTGGAGGGGGGGGGGCTGCTTTGGCCTGGGGCTGGGTGTCAGGCGGGGGCTGGCTGGCCTTCACTGGTGACTGAACTTGTACGGGGACTGGGGCAGGGGCAGCATCCGAGGCCTGGGCGATGGGCTTTGCAGGGGGTGTGGGTTTGGGGGGCAACTCTTTAGGTTTGCCGGGGGCTGGAGTTGGAGAACCTTGAGGCTGGGGCTGCTCCGTTGTAGGAGAAGCGGTGGGGGGAGGGGCTGCAGCTGGAGCAGAGTCTGGGCCTTTGGCAGCAGCAGTAGCTGCTTTGGTTGGGGGGGGGCTCGGAGCTGCTCCTTTAGCCAGAGATGATGGTGAGGCAGTGGCGGAAGGCTCCTGGGGAGGCTTGGTGACAGATGGAGCCCGGGTCATGGGGGGGGGCCTCTGAACTGGAGGCCTTGTAACTGAGGGGGCTTTTTGGACTGGACCTGGTTTCTGGGCCGCAGCAGACTTTGGTGGCGGCTCAGACTCTGATTTCACTGGGCCACCTAGGAGGACAAATGACATCATTGTGAAAGCATCCAATACCAAAGAAGCCAGTGAGGGAGGAAGTGCCGTTATTTGACAAAGTTAGAATCTGATGATTTAGTGAAGGTTAGAAAAGTCACAGCAGGACACAGAGAATCAGCTCCACTCCACTGAAGAAAGACCCCCATCAACTCATCGGTCAACAACACACTGAAGCAAAGCAGGCTCTGAATGACCAGCAGGGGGCAGCACATAGTGTTAGTTGTATTTGTGCACTGCACGTCGCCTCATGTCACCACTAGGAGGAAGTGTAGAGGTGGAAGGAAGGAGGGGAGAACGATGAGGTGATAAGAGTCCAAGACAGTAAAGTTATGATTCGTTTATGAGTGAAGTGGAAACAGGAAACACAGTGATGTCACATGCTGAGCAGGAAAACACGTCACAGAGACGACAGAGAAGATTCAATTTTCACTGTAAAATGTGTTTGGATTTGAAAGAACATGAAACTCCATCCCACTCATGCAGCTAAATGACCAGAACTCTTACGTTTTTATCAGTGAGGACTCACGATGCAGAAAAACCAAAAGAAAAGACAGTTTTGACCGGGACATTTTAAAAAGACACAAAAAGTAAAAGTGACTTGGATCCAAAGCTGTGATTTCCATTTGGCTGTGTTTAGTTTTGACCTTTGACCCAGAGAAACAGTTTTAGCCACGGCTCTGGATCCAAGTAGATGAGAGACGACGAGTCTTTCAGTTCAAACTGTGCTGCGTTCACTGACTGTACGGACTTTATGTACGTATGCATGTTTTGTGCGCGTGTGTAATAATTAACATAATAACGTTAAGGTTACCACCAACACCATCTAGTCTTTCAGAGAACCTTTAAAAAAGTCTTGACTGAATCCATTTTTAAGGTGGTTCTGATTTGACAAAGAGCTGAAAATATTTCATTCAGATAAAAACACAAAAGAAAACACACAGCAATGCAATTTAGATTTAGAGTTTATATCCAACTAAAACAAGGTGGCGTTTCCATGACGACCAACACCACAAAGAACACATTCATGCAAAAACATATACTGAACACACACTCGACACACATGCAAACACACCATTTAAAGTTGTGTTTATTTTTACCACGTTAGCTCTGAGCCCACACACGTTGCCATGCTAACAAAGAAGCTAACGTCAGCGCAACATGCTCCAGTACATTGAACTATTGTTGGAGGGAGTAACGTGGTGAACACGGACTACAGCACTACCGTGGTGAGCCCATGTGTGTTAGTGTAGGTGAACACGGACTACAGCAGCACCGTGGTGAGCCCATGTGTGTTAGTGTACGTTAGAGAGTGGCTCGTACGATCGTGTGACGCCACAGCTGGAGCAGAGCTAAAGAATAAGACGATGCTAAAAAATAGGGATTTTCAGATTAATGGAGAGAACGTCGGTTACAGCTGCTTCGTCAGTGTGAAGAAGGATCAATACAGTTCCACCTTAAGCTTATATATAGAATTAAAGTGATTCTACACTTCACATAAAACTAGAGTTGGTTAAATGTACATGAAGTTTGGAAGTATTCGTCACAGGCAATGCTAATACGCTAATATGCTAATCTGAGCTGATAGGAAATAAGGGCCGCTCCAACTGTCTCAGATGGCATCATTGGATTAGATTAATGATGCATTCTAATCATCAAAACTAGGGGGCAGCGTGGGCTACAACATATCAGAAAAACAAAGTTATGAGAAGCTAAATGTGGCGCGCCCACAACCGAAGCTGCTCAGCAGCAGTACTTAACGGAGAGCAGTGATTGGCCGACCTTGTGGTGGAGGACGCTGGCCTGAGGCCCTGTTTGGATCGGTCACTCCTTCCTCAACGGCTGCACTCTGGTCGGAGAAAGAGAACAGAGGAAGAGGCAGTGAGAAGGAAATGATGAGAAAACAGATGAAGTCAACGTCCAATCACGTGCTCTGAACCTGCTGCGGCTGCACCGTAGTTGCCCTCCCACTCTGAGGGGAGCGGACGGGTGAGCGGGAGGCTGAAGATGACCCTCCACCTAGTGCCTGGTTCATCTTAGCGATCACCACCTCAGCGATGAGCTGGCGGTCCTCCCCCTGGTGGTCACCGATGAGCTGCATCGATGACCCCACCACCTGGACAAACGGGGAAGAGAAGGGGCATATTTGAATACATACCCCCCTGGGGTCGCAGGATGTTATGAAGTGAGAAGAGGCTGCAGTCATCACATGATACTACAGCCCCTCCCCCCCGTGCCCCTCCGTCCTCCCCCCCTCCCCTCAGTGATGTAGTCATTACTGTCCTTCCCACAGGTGGCTTTGACTGCACAGATGTCCAGTCCTCCAAACATCTGTGAGCAGGTGTCCACCCACAGTTTATACCTGACAACAGGGGACAAAGGGGACGTCAGCGGACCAATCAAAAAGAGGAAAGACTAAGGATGAGAGCAGATCTGAGTGGGTGAGGCACAGGTGGCGCTGCAGCAGAATGCTAAAGTATCAGTGTGTCCAGTAAGAAAGCAGTTCATGTTGTTTTGCACTTGTTATGATCTTTTAGGCATGTAAAGATGCACAGGCAACAGTAACTGTTCAATACTCACAGTACTTTATACTCACAGTACTCCATACTCACAGTACCTCATACAACACTGTTACAGTTGGAGACATGAAGGTCAACACTCACTTGTCAGTCATGGCTACTTGTTCCAACATGGCAGATCCGGTGTTGCTCTTCCAATTCCCAGAGATGGAAGTCCGCCTTAAAAGGACGACAGGTTTTCACAACATGAATGCAAAGAAATTTGGAGAAAGAAATGGCTTTTCAGTCGACCGTCTGTGCTGTGGCAGTACAGACTGATGTGAGTCGACAGACAGAGTGGGAATTAGAATCAGTTGAACTGATGAAGTGATTTCATATAAACATAAAGACACAACTGAAGTCACAGCAGGTTCTTCAGACAGGAGCAGAGGTCCAGAAGTCCAAACTTACATGTAGGCTTTATAGTCAGTGCCAATCTTCTGCACCCTGATGTCGTACTTGGCGTCGACGAACGGCTCCGTGGTGCAGTAGGTCTTAGTGATGGCGACCACGCTCGCAATGTCCTGGAAATCACTGATGTTGTCGACTTTGACCTGTAGAGAAGAGCCCTTTACAACAGGGGTCCCCAACCCTCGGGCCGGGGACCGGTGCGAGTCCACAGGTCATTTGATACCGGGCCGCAGTACCAGCTGATACTGGTCGACTGGTCCTTGGTACAAATAATGCTGGGGACGCTGCTCTACACTGGCAACTTTTTTAAACTTAAAAGTAAAATCAAGACAAAAACCCCCCAAAAAACTAAAACAATCTTCAGGCCTGCAGAGCTAATATGAGCAGCTAATTCCGGCTAACACCAATCACGGTGCTAGCTGTAGCTGCTGACGTCATTGTATGAAACGTCTTGAAATATGAGAGACTTAATGAACGTTACCTTTCCCATCCCAGAGTGGGCGTGTCCGATCTTCACCACCACAGGGAAGCTGGGAGACGTGATCTGACCAGTCAAAAACACAGGCTTTAGTCGATGTTATTAGCATACCATAATATCTGTATTTACAAAGGGCTTCAAGTCTGCCAAAAAAACAAAAACATGCTAATTCATAAAAACCAAACAAGAATAGAGTAGGGACACTGGTAAACAACTAAACAAGCAACAAGGCCACTGTTGGTCCCAGTCCAGGTCAAAGGTCAGGTCATGTTTTACTTTGTGTTGAAGTTCAGGATCCAGAAGGTTTCTCATGGAACTGGAGTGGAGATGAAAGCGTCTGCTCTGCTGCTGGTGGTTGACAGGAGGAGGAGGCAGTGATGTAGTCATTACTGTCCTTCCCACAGGTGGCTTTGACTGCACAGATGTCCAGTCCTCCAAACATCTGTGAGCAGGTGTCCACCCACAGTTTATACCTGACAACAGGGGACAAAGGGGACGTCAGCGGACCAATCAAAAAGAGGAAAGACTAAGGATGAGAGCAGATCTGAGTGGGTGAGGCACAGGTGGCGCTGCAGCAGAATGCTAAAGTATCAGTGTGTCCAGTAAGAAAGCAGTTCATGTTGTTTTGCACTTGTTATGATCTTTTAGGCATGTAAAGATGCACAGGCAACAGTAACTGTTCAATACTCACAGTACTTTATACTCACAGTACTCCATACTCACAGTACCTCATACAACACTGTTACAGTTGGAGACATGAAGGTCAACACTCACTTGTCAGTCATGGCTACTTGTTCCAACATGGCAGATCCGGTGTTGCTCTTCCAATTCCCAGAGATGGAAGTCCGCCTTAAAAGGACGACAGGTTTTCACAACATGAATGCAAAGAAATTTGGAGAAAGAAATGGCTTTTCAGTCGACCGTCTGTGCTGTGGCAGTACAGACTGATGTGAGTCGACAGACAGAGTGGGAATTAGAATCAGTTGAACTGATGAAGTGATTTCATATAAACATAAAGACACAACTGAAGTCACAGCAGGTTCTTCAGACAGGAGCAGAGGTCCAGAAGTCCAAACTTACATGTAGGCTTTATAGTCAGTGCCAATCTTCTGCACCCTGATGTCGTACTTGGCGTCGACGAACGGCTCCGTGGTGCAGTAGGTCTTAGTGATGGCGACCACGCTCGCAATGTCCTGGAAATCACTGATGTTGTCGACTTTGACCTGTAGAGAAGAGCCCTTTACAACAGGGGTCCCCAACCCTCGGGCCGGGGACCGGTGCGAGTCCACAGGTCATTTGATACCGGGCCGCAGTACCAGCTGATACTGGTCGACTGGTCCTTGGTACAAATAATGTTGGGGACGCTGCTCTACACTGGCAACTTTTTTAAACTTAAAAGTAAAATCAAGACAAAAACCCCCCAAAAAACTAAAACAATCTTCAGGCCTGCAGAGCTAATATGAGCAGCTAATTCCGGCTAACACCAATCACGGTGCTAGCTGTAGCTGCTGACGTCATTGTATGAAACGTCTTGAAATATGAGAGACTTAATGAACGTTACCTTTCCCATCCCAGAGTGGGCGTGTCCGATCTTCACCACCACAGGGAAGCTGGGAGACGTGATCTGACCAGTCAAAAACACAGGCTTTAGTCGATGTTATTAGCATACCATAATATCTGTATTTACAAAGGGCTTCAAGTCTGCCAAAAAAACAAAAACATGCTAATTCATAAAAACCAAACAAGAATAGAGTAGGGACACTGGTAAACAACTAAACAAGCAACAAGGCCACTGTTGGTCCCAGTCCAGGTCAAAGGTCAGGTCATGTTTTACTTTGTGTTGAAGTTCAGGATCCAGAAGGTTTCTCATGGAACTGGAGTGGAGATGAAAGCGTCTGCTCTGCTGCTGGTGGTTGACAGGAGGAGGAGGCCGTCCCCACACCCTGCCGTACATAAGAGGCTCCCTGTGTGCCAGCCTTTCAGCATTCAAGACCAGAGTGTGAGGGGATCCGACCATTGTAGGGTTCTGAGCGCAGGACAAGGAGAGAACGCTCGCAGCTCCTCCCTCACGTTATTCGCTCCGGCTAGAATTCAGACGTTTATTTCCAACTTTGTCCTCAGCTCAGCGGAGGTCACCTCACTGCTCCGTCTCCTCCGTCCCAGCTGCCCCTCCCTCTCTCCTTCATTTTCTTCCTGGGGAAGTAAACAGGGTCAGCGTTGCCTGAGCGCTGGGTCGGTCGGAGGCAGCCGCAGTCGTCGTGGCCATGTCCCTGGAGCGGAGTGTGTGTCTGAGGCTCTGGGTGCTGGTTCTGCTGGGCGCAGCCCTGGAGGCAGCGGTGGAGGGATGCAGCTGCCACCCAGCCCACCCTCAGCAGTTATTCTGCACGGCTGAAATAGGTAAGTCCCTCGGAGGAGCAGCCGTCGAGCCAGTATTTATTAGTTTGGACTAAAGTCACGAGGAGCTGGGAGATTTGATGAAATGGGACTAAGAACGTTTTCTTATAAAACTGTGGATGAATTTGACCTGAACCTGACGTTGACGTTAGTTTGGTTTGATGGTCGTCACTGTGACAGAACGGGGGGGGAGAGAAGCAGAATCTCTGTCCTACTTTTTGTCTGTCTGTCTGTCTGTCTGTCTCTGTCTGTGTGCTCAGCTGTCTGCCAGCCCCCCCCCCCCCACACCCCC